ATAGTTATCGAACATAAACCCCTCACCACTTCAAGCGTTTTCTTCATAAGGCATAGGCGACATGATAGTAGAAACAAATGATGGACATTTTCAATTCCATCACCACATATTTCACATTTTGTCAAGTTGTAATTTTGTAAAAACCTCCTCTTAAATTAATTATGGTCATTAATTAAATGTAATTTCACTTATAAAGTTGTTGGTGCAAGTATAGTATGAAAATATGGTCTCCTATATATGATTATAGGCATGTAAGGTATTCCTAGTGCAAGTATGTTGATTGCTTTTATCTCTATCTATATGCTTGAGTGAGGTGTCATTTTATAGAGTTAATAATAGTATAGGATTCAATATTAATGTAATTTTATTTGTAAGGATGGGAGTATCTCTTATTCTTCAATTAAAAAATTTACTATTTAAAGAAATTAATAAAAAAAATTCCATAGGAATGTATAATTCTTTGGAGTTGGTGTAAGAAATAATTAAATATTTCATAAATAAATAATAAATAAGGTATTTAATAAAATTAGAAGCATCTTGACTCATCATGGTTTTTATTATATTAGAGGAATAAAAAAACTATTTGAGAATAAAGAAGTAGGTGGTGTGCTTTTCTTTTTTAATTAATTTAGTTGAAACTTTATATTTTAATAAAATTCTTTTCACTAATGTGTGATTGCTATTACCATCACATTTTTTTTTTATTTCTCAAGTTCAATTATGGTCTAATTGTGATAGAAAATTTTGTTATTTATTATGATTTTCTTTTGTGACAAATTGTATATATTATCACAAAATGTAATTGTTACGAATAAAAAAGTTTAGTTACAAATAAAATTTTGTACATGTGATAAAAATTAATTATTTGTAACTAATATTTTATTAGTAACTAATAATTAACTTACAATAATGATTTTGATTGTAATAAATTTATATTATTTATTGTAATGAATTTTTTGTAACTAAATGTAAGTTTTGTGTCAAAATTATATATTTGAATTTTGAAAATTAATGCTATAAATCAATATCTTGAATTAGTTACAAATACAAAAGATATTAGTAACGAACTAGAAATCAGTCACTATTTTCAATCATAAAAGTTTGTCTTCTTATAGTGGGTCCACTTTACATCTAAACTAATATTAACAAAAGAGTAAGGATTGATAATAACTTAAATAATTTAATGATTATATCTTTTTGTTGAAAGTAAGAGGTTCTAAATTCTAATCGCATTGTATACAGATGGAGTGAGATAAGAGATGAGAAATAGTTGCCTCTTATTGTGTAACTAAAAAAAAAAAAAAAAGAGAGTAAAGATTCATTTATACATAAGTTTTATATATTATATTTATATATAATTTTAACTATTTATTTCTTTTCTTTTAATAGTTGATATTTATTTACATTTATTAAATATAATTATTGTTTTTATCTAAAAAATTATAATAAATTTCAATAATTAAAAATAAAGAAATATAATTAAAATTTTAAATAAAATATAATGTATAAAACTTATATATAAATATATTATTTTCCTTAACAAAATATATAGAGTTTTTTTTTTATTAACCTTCTAGTATTCGATAATCATATTGAGTCCCGATTAATTTAGAATTGAGTTGCGTCAAATTAACTCTCTCAGCGCCTGATTTTCCATTTGTAAAATTCAAACTCGATACTTTATTTAAGAAAAATCAAGTTTTTTCCACTCAGATTAACAGATTATTGATATAAAATATATAGAGTTAGGTTTGCTTGGATTCTTCATATACTCTTTTGGTTGAGCCTGTAGACGAAGAAGTAGCCATGTGACTATGTCCGCATCAGAGTTGAGGAAGTCTTCAAATTCCAACTGCACACGTAACCGATCGAAACATTGCTGGTTAATTAAATCATCACTTATGGTCTATCTGTTGAAAAGACGAATGCTTATGGAAGTAACAGCAACAACATGCACATTTTGTGGAGATAAGACTGAAACTTCAAAACATATCCTCTTCTCATGCTCAAACTCATGGAAAATATGGTGCTTGTGCTATGATTGGTGGGGCATAAAAACGGCAGCACTTGAAGGAGGATGGAATCATCTTAAGCAGCACATGGGCCTCATCAACCCAGGAATAGTCAGAAAAGTGTGGGCAATTATTTGGTTTTTCTCAATATGGTCTATCTGGTCATCAAGAAACTCATTCATCTTCAAGGGGGAGACCTTGAATCCCGAAAAGGTGCTTGATCTTATCAAATTTCGCTCTCTCACATGGATTAAAACAAGATGGATCCCTGATTTATCCCGACAAATCTGGTTTAATAATCCAAAGGAAGCTTGCAGGGCCTCAATTGATAAGACACCATTTTGTACAACAAGAGGGTAAAGGACCAGTTTATCTAAGGATTCTGGGTTTGGAATATGTAAGAGTCAACCCCTTAAAATCTTTATCCTCCTCTTTTGTAATGTAACGGGTTGAGGTACCCTTGTACCTCTGTAATAAATTTTATTTTGCGGATAAAAAAAAAAATCATCACTTATAATATACTTGAATTAAGGAAAATGAAGGGAAGCAGAGACTTTTTTACCTTTTTTTTAAAAAAAATTGGCTTCACAACAGGAAGCAATATATTTTTTCATCTTTTATCCCACCTCACTCGCATGCTACTTAAATTCAGAATCTTTTATTTATAATAAAAGTAAATTACTACTGAACTACTCAGGTTGTTAATTTTACTAAATTAAATTGTAACGATTTTAAATATTACAATTTGATTCATCACTTTCTTGTTTTTTAATTCTCTTAAATTAAATATAATGTTACGGAAAAATATACACAACTGTAATCTGAGCTATAGGTATTAAGATCACCCTTCGCTTCTTGATTATGGGTTAATTTCATCCTCTTGTATTCCTCGTGTGCTTTCTTTGAGCGAAACATTGCTTGGACCTGTGCAATAGCTCGCTCAAGACGTTCTTCAGCTTGTTTCCGGCTGGTTATGTAAAAGTCTTCTTTTGTGTCGCCTTGATCTGCAGCTGGTTCAACTACTTTGTTAACTTGAAACCCCCGAAACCCTTTTCTCTTCAAAGGCCATCGTAGAATTGCTTTCTCAAGCACACCAACTGACCTCAGAGTCTTCCGGTACTGCTTCTGCACTTGGAAGCCCCGAAGAGCAGCCCGTGGATAAATGGAAGATTCATTTATGCAATTCAGCCAGGAAAAATTACATGATAATGGAGCAAAGTTACCTGAATTTTTGTAGCTTGAGAACGCTTTTTCTGCCCTTTTTTTACTAAAGTCCCCATGAAATCACTTTGGGTCGGGTAATTGGAAGTTGAGTCATATCAAATTTTATAAATAAAGAAATTTTTTTTATACACGTTTCTCCGGTTTATAAAATTTAAATTTAAAATTTTATTTAATAGAAAAGCAAATTCTTTCTGATCAAATTTACAGATCATTAGTTATAGCTTGACAACTCATTATGCACACAATTGCTGCAACAGGCCGTAGCTTTGCTTGGACGAGTTGAATTGGGATTATATCAGCTAACCATCACTAACGACACCAACACATTGCCTTTTCCAGCGAGTAGTATACTACACACATATATATATAGTCAATTATCATAATTCAAATGGAAATATCAAGCACGAATATTCTCTTTTCAGAATGCCCGTGTCCAAGACGCGTATGAATGGACGCACTCGACATGTACATCATGTCATTTAAAAGATAAAATGTGGGGGCGAGTGTTGTTGGGGAAAAATTTTTCACGAGCGTGCCCTTGTCGAATGAAAAGAAGAATGTATTGGGGGTGCATTTTGTAGGGTTTTAGCCTAGTAATAATTGCATCAAACACAAGTTAACATTTTGAGCCAAGACCAAAGAGTTGGACCACCGATGAAAATGAGTGCAAAATTGGCAGGATCAATGTCCCACAATTTTATTGCTCCTCCTAACTCATTAACTTCAAAATTCATTATTATTGAATTTCACTTAGTCAATAACCACAACCCTTAGTGTAAGTAGAGATCATCTCTTGTGAGTGTGTATTCAAACTTAACGGATCTCATTATCTCTTCTTTCAAATTATCCTGTTTCATATATAAAATGTTATTATTTTTATTATTATTATTTTAATCATTCAAGGCCTATTATTTAGCTACAAAGGAGAGAATCATTATTATTATTGGAGGTTCCCCAGCCCACCCCACCATAAAAGCCGTCTGGACTCTTAGTCTTGGATCCATCATTCGTGGGCTCTACAATGTTCCCACGTGGACCCACTCTAAAGCCCATTTCTTTCTTGGCCATCGATTATTATACTTTTTTTTTTTCTATTTTGTCTTAATTATAAAAAAAATATGTTTTGCAATCGAAGTGTATTTTTTGAACATGAGAAATTTTGGAAATGGGGATGGATTTTACAAAAAATTAAAATTAAGGTTTTAATATTGGTAAATGTACATCTTATCTAATGCAACTTGCTATGGATGCTCAAAGTGTATTATGTTGCAAAAAATTAGTTACTCAATTAGGAAAGGA